AAAAAAAAAATAAAAAATATATATATATATATATTTTTTTTTTTTTTTTTTTTTTTGCTAGGTAACAGTGCTCCAAACTGCAGCACTGTGCACTGAGCTTCTGTAGTTCAGAGTGATGTCAGCAATCCCAACGTCAGCCATTTTGTTTGACAAGTGTGTTTTACAGTTTCTTTGAATAGACTTTGAATTCAGGTCAACTCCATGATGGAATATTAGGGCCAGGATATGATTTTTTTTTTAATTGCAAGAATAAAGTCTGAATAATACAAGAAAGAACAAACTTGTAGTATTCTGAGCATGAAGTAGTAAATTTATGTGAATTTCGACATGGAAAAACAACAAAAAATTTAAATGAAGGATGTTGAGCATCTTGAGAAGCTATGCTTTGGTTTTACAAATAAAGAAATGTTTAATCTTTTAAAACACCAGAATCAAATTATCATCAGTAGCAGGTCATTGTAACAATTCTGCAAATAATTACAAGATGTTCTGGTAAGATTGTGTCTTTATTCCGATAATATTGTGACTATATTCTCGCAATTAAACTTTTCTCGTAGCCTGGCCCTAATACTTCACTCTCACAGAAGAAATGTTAAGAGTCACTTTCTGAAAACATTTTCTGCCGTTTGTAATTTACTTTTAGAGAAAAGAAAGCGAACAAAATTGATTAAAGTCGGAAATCGGATCTGGTATGAAAAAAATCGGAGATTTTATTTGTAAGCCACGTCGCCCAGCCCTAATTGGAGATGAAGCCAGGCTCAGCGATGAGAGCGAAAAAAACCCAAAGAAAAGAGATGTAGAACAAAGGGAGAGTGTTGTGTAGGAAGGATACAGGTGAAGAGAAAAAAAAACAGATTCAGTGGAACATGGGATAAAGTCTGACATCATTCAGCCTCCTTCTTGCATTTCACCTCCGCCTTCACCTAATCTTGCGTACTGCAATCACAGCTAAAAAGAAATCTCGACGGACACGGACATTACCACCGGCATGTGATGAGGTGAGCATCACCTGCAGGAGAGTCTGAAAAGAGGAGAGGAAAGAGAAGCAGGGTCTCCCTCCCGTCAGGAGCTCTCCAGCCAGAATCCTCCTGGCCTGACCCCGCTGAAAGCTATACAAGTATGGAGTTAATCAAAACTGTGTTAGGATGACAGGCAGGGGGCCCTCTGAGAAGCCATGCCAGGGGCCCCTTCTCCACAAAGCTTGCACTGTGAGGGGGGCCTGCCCTTTGCACAGGAATTGTGGTTGAGGGCCGGGGCAGGTAATCTGTCTGCTGGTGGCAATAAACTAAAATCAGTTCTGATGTCAGCGGAGCCGTCTTCAAGGCTTCGGCTCAGTGACATGAACGTCAACCCTTGTGCGCCCACCTGATGACACATGCGTACACTCGGGTCCTACATGTCAGCACTTACACTTTAGAGGAAATGAGACAAAGCGTTGAAATTAGCCAACATAATGGGCAGACATGACAGATCCTTACCTCTGTAATAATGAAGAAGTCATCTCCGGGCTCGCCCTGCACTACGATCTTCTCCCCATCCTCAAACTGAACTGGCTCCAGGGCATCAGCCACAGTCAGGCGCTCCCACTTATCCAAAGACTCTGTGAATGAAGCACGTTAAAACTGTGAAACAGCGGACGCACAAACTCGTACTCAAACCGTGTAGGTTACACGCTCACAGACGCTGCTGCCTTCACGGTTCTCCAGGGAAGTTGCGGGGATAAATCCCATTCCAGGCTAATCCGGTTATTCATCAGGAACCATTACATTTCAGATCCTTTGACTACTCCCCTCGTTTCATGGAGGCCCAGGGAGCTTAAACACCTTAAAATTGAGCCCTAAATCTGTTCTACTTACGGTGGCTTGTGGTGACAGAGATATGATTTATCCCCAAAAAGAATCTTTTACTCAGCAATAAGCTACATATGAGAGCGTGCTGAATGCAGGGCCTTGCAAAAGCATTCAGACCACGTGAACGTTTCAATATTTTGCACCCACAAACTTCATTGAGATTTGATGAGATACAACAAAAAACTTTTGAGCAAGTAAAACAGAAAGGCGCACATCTATTTGTTGTTGTAGAGAAAAGGCAAATAGCTACAAAAAGTCATGCTTAAAGTTTGCAAAAAGCCATATGTGAACCATAGAGAATATTATAAAGATGCATAATATTGGGAAAAGAGATGCTAACCAAATGCTGCAATAAAGTTATTTTATACATATTCAGGGCTGCAACTAATTATTTTAGTAATCGGTTGTTCTTACATTTAAGCAATTAATCGGATAAGAAAATGGGAACCTTTTTACTACACTATAAAAAATGTTCTAAGATTTGCATACAGGGAGAACCTAAGTACAGGAAAATCTTTGCTAAAAAAAAAAGAGGCTGCTAACAACTTGTTACTGGGGTGGAAATTCACCTCTAACAGGAATGGAAGATCACATTAAATCTCACTAACAAGTTTGTGGTTGCAAAACGAAAAAAAAAAAAAACTCAAGAGCAAAGAGTACTCTGAAATTAGACCGATTAAATAAAACTTCAGGTCTATTTAGTTGCTTTTACAACCAGCAAATTAGTGACCAAAAATAGTGGCTAATTATAATTAAATATTTCCAAAACATTTTACAATAAAGCAGGAATGAATCAAGCCTGGAAAAAAAAAAAAGGAAAATCCAATCAGTATTTTCTTTCAGCTTCTGGGAGATCTTTCAGCCAGTTGGTTGTTCCAACTATCCGACCGCAGGGACACTGACGTGGTTAGCCCGAGATATTCCTAGAAGCCGTTGGTTATTTCGCAGAAACCCGAGCGGATAGTTTCTCATCTCTCTCGGAAAAAAAGAAATGCTTCGACCAAAAGAGGTCAAAGCCACGCAAAACGTGATGTTTAAGGAAGACCGATCGGCCGGTAATAACCGAGTATCTCCACGCAGATGTTTGACCAGATGATCTCATCCTTCATTCACACTTCAGCAGATCAGTGTGGGCTAATCTTCCCCAGTCCTATCCATCTGCATGTGGAATGTGGCTTATCTGGAGCGAAAACACTCCTCATCCTCGGCTTTGTCTAGATGAAAAGATGACTCCCTGTTTTTATTTGACTAAGACGCGAGTTAGAGGCGTAAAACTGCGGCGGGCTCCCTTTGTCTGGCAGCATTGTCTCCCGGTGAGCTCACGAACTGATCCTGTTGTGTCTATTTATCTGTGTGTATAACCGTGTATGCATTTAGGATTAACTGGGATAGGCCTGGCAGTTTGGAGGTGTCCAGTGTCCTCTCCAGTGGGGCCGCGCTGTCTGCCGGACCCAGATGGATGTCTTCTGTCTGGCTGCAAACTAAAAGGCAGCAGGTCCTGCAGAGAGGTGATCCTTAACGGCAAGGCAAGTAACACGATACAGAGTTGTCTTGACTAAAGGAGCTACATTTTAGCATTCACGGAGCCTGCACCCACTTGGATCGGCTCGCTGTAAACATCCAGGGACCCCGCTGCTGGGATGTCGGAGCCTGCTTAAGTGCGAGTGCGACAAACATTTGTTGTTTCTCACTTGACACCAAAACATCAAGGGCTTGCACCCGATTTTGTGGCCATCTCTGAAATCAAAGACAAACAAAAACACTCCCGCCCCCTGCCCCTCTTGCGTTTGACAGAGGGCGAGCAGAGAGGCGAAGCGGCGGAAAGGGGGGACTTAAGAGAGGTATTCTACCTCAACGAGGGAGGCGGGTTCTCGAATTCAAGCCTCAACAAAGCTGTCAAAAGGGGAGAATAAAAATGAAAAGAGCCGACTTCAGAGAGACAATCTCCTGAGTCCCTGAATTGAGTGTATGCGTTTACTCACCCAGCTAATGACTCTGTACAGGGGGCACGGCCTTACCCTACACACCGCACACACACACACGATCAAGCGGATGGGGATGAGACGTCACTTCCAATTGCAACTCAATTCGAAAGTCAGAATGAATCTCATTCACCTTCCCTTTAAATCCAGTGGCCTGTGTAGGCTGGGTGTTATCCAAATTCCAGCAGGAAAGAGAGGCTTATCCTAACCCCCTATACTTTAATTGTCCACACAGAGACATTACAGAGTGTGGCGGGCTTAAGGGCGAACACTGTGAGTAGATTAAGACTGTAAACACAGACCTTACTCTGCTATAGGCCCCGTGTGACAGCGTATGCCTGTGTTTATGTGTGGCTAATCTATAATATGTTAATTTAACTGCCTCAACTCTGGATGCTGGGCCTTTTAAATCAACTTAGACCACAGCTTATTTATTGCTTGTGCAAAAGTACCCATTCTTCATTAAAGAAGAAACAACAAACGAGTCGTCTTAGTGTAAATTTCTTGCCGCACTTTGTCCCATTAAAACCGGAAACTTCAATGTATTTCATGGGATTCTGTGATACAGCAGTAAGAGGTGAAAAGACAGCATGTATAGCTTTTCAGTTTTTTGAGAATACAAATCTGGAAAGTTATCTCTTGTTTCTTCCTAGCCTACAGTATGTTTTTTGTTCAATCCAATCCAGAGGACTTAAAAACGTCAAGTGAGTCAGGCTGCCTGATGAGCAGCCGACTCAATGGTTGGAAAAAGTAGGAGCACCTTTAAGTTTGAGAGGCCGTAGGGTTGAAGCTTACTATACGGGTAAGGCATTTAAAAACAAAGAATTTTAAACCAACAGGAAGTCAGTGGCGTGGTGCTAAAACTGAAGTAATGTGTTCACATTTTTTGTACCAGCTAGCAGCCAAAAATTTTTATTCGACACGTATACGACTCAAATTTGATGAGTTCTGAAGGAAATTGGTTGTGCTGGATTTTGATTTGTAGCATGAAAATAAATGTAGCCCACACTTTTCTGAATTTCATTTAGAAAAAAACTGAAAAGACTGTATATTTCCCACCATTTCACAAATTGTCCATGACCTGTGTGAAAATGCCGAAGGCTTATAAATACTTTTAAATGGCACCGTATTGATCTGACAAATACACTTACCAAGGATGGAGACCTTGCTGAGGAACTCTTCGTACATCTTTCTCTTTCTCAGAGTACTTCCCTGTGAGACAAACAGAAATAACATTATCTGATCGATACAGTCCTAAATCAACTGGTAGCACAGTAGTTTCATTGTGCTGCTAAATACTGGAGTGGCTCGGATTCAAAAAGCACAGTCTGATTCATTTTGCAACGGCTTTTATTTTTCTCCCACTTTCATCACTGCCGGATTAGCAAAAGCAAGTGTCAGCAAAACATGAATTAAGTTTTTTAATATCTAAAAAATATTTGAGCGGTTATTACTTTTCTGCGTCTTGCATGAACATTTTTTGCACCGGCTATCAATCGTACAGCAAGAAAAGTCCAGTGCCTATAAAAGTAAATTACAATAGAAGTTGTTTTTTTAATTTTTTTTTTTTTTAAGATTAACGTGTCACAGTTCACGGGGTCATGCTTAGGGAGGCTTGTGTGAGATATGGAGTAAAGTTTATTGCGTGTGTGTCTGTCTGTGTGGCCCGCCCCACCCACCAGGCAGGGGACTTTCCCCTCCCTGGTTTTGCCATGAAAATCAGGTGCTTCCTGACAAGACCGGACCCAGAGGACCCCTTCCCTAATTGCGTTTCTTCTTCACTGCACAGAGCCACTCAGGGAGAGCGGGAGAATAAAGAAAGCAAAAAAAAAAAAAAAAAAGAAAGAGAAAAAAGAAAAAAAATCCAGTGAGGACAGGCAATCTTGTCCAACCCGTTTCTGCTGTTTGCATGTGGTAGTGATGTATGTATTGAGGCTTGGGGTGTCTTCAGCACAAGCGCTCGAGTCCCGCTGCTGCCTCTAATTTCATATAATTTCACATTTTGTCTTAAAAGGGGAGAAAATCTTCCCAAGTGAGTCAACGTCAAACTGAGGATCGTAAACAACTTGATTAAAGGAATTCTAGGCTGCTCTGCCTCCCTCCTGGATAAATGATTTGAGTGCGTGCAGGCAAGTCTGTTTTTAGTTCTGCCACTTATGTTTCACTGCTATCTGAGCAGGGACGAAATTTTGAGGCTCTAACTGTTAAACTTTCACATGCACACTGCGCTCCAACTTTTTACAGCCTTTCCGCGAAGCTTAAAGATTCAAAATGCTTGCCGTGCAAACATATAATGTATACGGCACGTCTGATTTATGCGAGTGCTGCAGGAACAGCAGGGTGGGCCCCAAGTAATGTGAGGGATTTGCATTTCCAAAAGTTACCAAATAAAAATACGACACTACTGGATGTCATGCTTTCTAGCAGCCGTCTTTATTGGCATCTACCTGGGAGGGCTCCAGCACACGACCATGTGTAAAAACGTCCTACTTCTCTTTGACCTACTGTCTTCGCCATTTATGTGGTTAAAGATGAACCAGCATTTTTGTCTGTTTGCCGTCTTTGAGGTGGAATCATCAAAGGCTTGAGGTGTGGAGCGCAGCCAGACTAAACCAACTGTATCTTAAGCCCCATCGCTATCGCCTTCATCTCCGTCCAGCGTGACACATAACCGCTCCCTCACCCTTCATCGCTCCTTTTTTCTTGCTATAATTTCCCCTTGTTTCCTTTCGTCTTGTGTTCTGTTTGTTGACAGTGGTCTGTCAGCTTGATAATAGCTTTGGATGTAACTGTGTCTGTTTAAATACCAAGATGACACAACAACGCTGGTATTGTATGACTGATGGCAACACAATGGGGAGAGTGTGTTTACTACAAGGACTGGTATTACATTGTTTGCTCAACTCTCGAATAAGGAAAGTGGTGGGATGTGTGGGTGTGGCAGAGTTTGAAGGGACGCCTTGGCTTTGCTTTACAACATCAATGAAATGTTACACATATACTGTGTCGTCAACATGCTCGTTGGTTAAAATTATTTATGATCAATTTAATAATGTGATTTACGCTTCACTCTTCCAGGAATAGTCTACGGTTTTCAACTTTTACTTTAAACCTTAAAAATCTGTAGCCTTCCCTCACCCTCCAGTCGCTGTACAACAATATCATATTTTACTAAATTACGACCTCTTTGAAATATTTTTTTTACATTTTTATTTAAAAGTAACAGTCGCCTTTAATCTTACACAGCTACACCATCATTTACAAATCCACAGAGCTGCGATGAGGAGCTCCTCGGGGTTTGGTTGTGGGACCCGTCTTGTTTTTGTTATGGATTTGTCTTTTTTCTGACAACGAGATTAATTAAAAGGGCTAACAAGGTCTGATTTTAAATGTCTTAGTTTAGGATACATTTAAAAGAATTACAGCATAAAACAATCAGATTTTAGGGATATTTTTCTTGACTAAATATAGACCAACATCAAATAACAATATTATTCATGTCTGTACATATATAATATTTGAATTGATAGTAGTATAGTCCTATGTCCTGTGGGACTATAGTACTTGTACTCTCTTTGACCAGTACATTTCATTTGTATCAGTTAATACTTTCAACATTTCGGCATTTCATTTTGAAGCATACTGCAAACATGCACTCCATTACAGATGTCTCATCTGTAATGAACTTTGTAGTAGCCGTGATTTGATGTTTATTTACTTCAGCTTTCTTATGTTGTTTGATTCAGGGTACTCATCTGTTTGCTGTTCAATTCCCAGACAGTGTTTCCCTCCTCAGGGAATACCATAATAATGGAAAACAGATCAGTTTGTTAGCACAAGCCTTCTTCATTTTAAACAAAACCCTGTAATCACGTAAAACATAAAATCACTTGTAGAGGCTAGTTCTGTGAGCTACTTTTGTGTGATACACTGAATTTTTGCTTATTACATAATCAAGGATGTGTGTTGTAATAACAAATTTTAAACATTTCTGACCTTCATGCACCAATTATTTCACTAAGAGGAATAAGCCATATCTACAGTAAATATTTTAGGAGGCCGTGTTATGTTAATGGCAGTGTTTATATTCACTTTTCTATATTGTTGTCAATCAATTAAAAAAATTAATGAGGTTAATCAGATTCTGCTGCTGTGATTAAGCATTATTAATGACTATGTCTAACTTTGAAGGCTCCTGCCGCACTCCAATTAAAATGCAATCAATTATAATTTTGTAGCAGAAATTGGCAACTAAGGGAAACGTACTCCACTACGCATGCATACATAGTAGCAAACTTGTTCAGGGAACAATTGACAGATAAGATATTTCTTATTTTCTAGTTCTTAGATGGACTCCCCTTTCTGATGTTGCCCTGGGCAACTGCCCAGACAGCCAATATATATATATATATATATATATATATATATATATATATATATATATATATATATATATATATATATATATATATATATATATATATATATATACTGTCTGCATGTTTTCATAAAATGTTTAAGGAAACAATTTGTTGTCTCAAATCAAATATGTCTGAGGATTCTCAGTTTTCCATGTTTCAGGAAGGTTTGAAAGAAGTCATATGATTTTAAGCATTAATTTAGAAATGTGCCTCTCCCTTCATTACTGACAGTTGTTCATCTTCATACAGAAGCATACATGGCATACATTTGTCATAATGGGTGTGTGTCACAATGCAGGGTGTAAAATGAACACCACGCTGCTGTGTAACGACAGAGCGAGTCAAATTAGCTTTGACATCACGTGTCATTTTCTTCTTAATCTAAATATAACAATTGCCTAACCATTTTGGACTGAAAGTTAAAAGCTTTGCCCACAGCCCATGATTGGTTGAAAGTGATCAAATAATTATTGGCTACATCAATCAGAAAGTAGATCCAACTCCATAGCTACGCTAGTCAATTCAAGCATCTGGCATGCCGAGGTGAGTAAATCTTCATTAGTGCATTCACAAATGCCTGCGTAGCACAACAGGAGAAGAACATTAATGGGACGGCTGTGGCTGAGAGGGAAAAGCAGATGTCTTGCAATCGGAAAGTCCAGTTTCCTCCACCATCTGTTGAAGCTCTATTGGCCAGACGCTTAACCCCAAGTTGCCTATCAATCAATGCTGGTGAATGTAGCTCTAGTGTGAAAAGAACACAATGTAATGTCAGTCGATTTATCTTGTCAATGCTCTGATATTTGTGTAGCATTTATTGAAATTTTACAGCAGTGGCACATATGTGTAATATACATGGCATCTCGAGATTCTGGCAGCCATGTGACAGAATATTTCAACATCTCTTAAAAAAAACAGTGGATGTTTTGCTTAGCTAGAGATAAAAAGTACTTTACTTAAGAACCAGATGTGTGCAAAGACGATGCCTGAGTGTTTTTTAATGTAAACCACATAAATTTGCATGATTTTGAATTGCGAGAGTGAGAATGAGAATGCTAATGAAAGAATACTGACAAATATATGCAAGTAGTTTGTTTTTACTGATAAGATAAAATAGGAATCACAGGGATTGGATTAAAGTAAGGTATATCCTCACACTATTGGTGGGCCTTGTGTTCTGATTGTGTTCTCACTGTGTCTTAATGAACAGATTGTGTTTTTGTCCTAGTTATGATTCCTAATCTAGTTTTACTCAGCAACATACATCGATCCATTTTCATTTCTTTCCTAATCATATTCAGGGTGTTTAGGAGGCTGGATGCTACCCATCAGTCCACTGGCTTGTCTAGCTAAATAACTCCAAAGAAATGCCAGCACAAGTCTGTGCAATTCTACAAACGAGTTTGTCTTGAAATCACATGGATCAGTGACAAGTTAAGTGGTAAAGTGGTTAAGTATCGCTTTATCTTATAATTTGTAGATTATGAAGACAAAGAGAACAGGGGAGCAGATGTGAAAAAGTCAAACAAACAGCAGTGCAAATGCACATTTCAACCTGAGCGCTAACTAGCTGCAGACCCAGAGATTCAGCATAATTTTTTTTTTTTTCACTGAGAAACACACATATTCTTACACAAAGAGAGAATGCTCATTGTGTTGGCCAAAGAGGCTGCCAGAATACCACACTTTGTAAAAAAAAAAAAAAAAAAAAGAAGCTTTACAAATCATTGACAGCAATAATTAACTACAGGTTTGTGTAATTGAATTCTGCCCCGCCACCCCCCTTCTTCTAGCTGCCGCCGCTGCTGGTAAGAACGAAGGAATGGAAGCAGCAGAGAGCGAGAATCCTCTCAAAGAAAGGTTACCCGGGCAGATTGAGCCGTCACTTTAACTATGCGCTTAAGAGGTGACATGAGTGCTAGGCAGATTGCTGGCAACTTTACAATGAGCTTAAATTCCACTTCTCAAAAAAAAAAAAAAAAAAACCTTCTTCCATCTCCATGAGCGCCGTTTGACAGAACAAACAGAATTTTCACTGCTGCCAATGGCAAAGTTTAGATACACACAGGAATCAGGAAGGTTAATTGGTGTCTGACTAATTTATATGGCATAAAGTGTTAGGAACGTCCGAAGTAATGTTTAGCTGGACAAGTAGGTCTCACAGAGGCGTACTCAGACATGTGCAATAATTAGTTATTCTTACAGAACAAAAATATGTCTGCGAGTCTGACAGCCAGGGCAGAGCACCTAATGTTTCCACTTTAAACATTTAGACATTCCTACTAGATAAGCTCCTGGAGTGGGAAGTGCATGTGCAGGCATTAGGACTGACCCTTTCTCTCCTCCTCAGCCCCCCACACACTCATTGCCTTTACTTTTTCCCCCCTTTCTTTGTCTAAGAAAGAAGAAAGGAGATCTAGGGAGATATTAAAATGGGAGGATAGACTCCTGTGTGTGCATGCATGTGTCAGAATGCGCATGTAAATGGAAGCAGGTGCTACAAGTGTTTAAGGAGTTTTAAGTAGGCTAAGTAGGAGGAAATATTGGAAGCAAAAGAGCATGATTAGTGTTGAGGACCTACCGTAAAGATCTTAAATGTATGCACATATATCATACTTACAGTACTTTACTATTAAATTACAGTATGACTGATGTTACTCTGCACTTTTATGGTTTAATGCTACTTTTATCTTTATTAAAATGTCAAATTTTGGTCAATTTTAAACTATAAATAATAACAGTTCGAAAAAGTTTTCAGTCAATTTTGTTTACTTTGTGCGGAAGTGTTTCGTACCCCTTACACTTTTCCACATTTTGTCACATTATAACTAGAAACTTAGAAAAACACAATGCAAATTTTAGGCTGGAAAGTAACACAATATATGCAGAATGCATACAAGAATGATTTAATAAAAAAGTAAAAATATAAAATTTCACTAGTCTCAATCCTTACGCAAAATCTAACAGGTTTTCTTCCAGGATTGTCCCGGAAGAAAACCGGGACAATTGTCCCGGAAGGGACAGTGGGTCCCTGTTACTTTAACAGGGACCCACTATGTCCCTGTTAAAGTAAAACCTTACACAGCATGATACGGCCATGTGTCACCACAGGGACGGTGTGTTCCAGTGATCTGTACTTATACTGAGATTAATATAAACATCCATGCTGGCTGTGTGGATTTTATTTAGGGGCATGAAAGTAAAAAGATCTTAAGACAGATGTACGCAACATTTTGGGATTTTCCTGAGTTTGTGTCTTTTTCTGTGCATTTAACAGTAACACACAGCTTGTGTTGATCTGTTGCATAAATGCATTAAAAGTTCATTGAAGTTCTAATGTGAGAAAATCTGAAATAGTTTAATAGTTCACAATACATTTGCAATTTAATGAGAGTTTGGTATTCAATTAGTAAAAAAAAAAAGTAATTTACTGTATTTTATTGTGCTAAAATGAGCTAGCTGTGTAACAATACTGTTTTTTAATACTGGAGATTTGGCCAATTCAAAGTAATTATAACAGGAAAAGTGGCTTCATCCAAACTGCTCAGCACTCAATATGTTACCAGAGAGGATACTTTCTTACATCTGAGCAGATTGTTGGGTTACTTACCATGAGGATGCGGCGGTAGCTGTCCCTGTCAATGCCCCACAGTTTAAGATCTGTCTTGGCCTTGACGGTGGCAGCTCTTGGAGTCCCATAGATCAGGGCCAGCTCGCCAAAGCTTCCCCCCTCTCCGATATTGGTCACCAGCTCACCGTTCACATAAACCTGCAGAGATAAAAAGAGAAAGGAGGGACGGACAGGCCATGAGACTGTCTGCTTCAAAGAGCACTGACAAATGAAAACCGGTTGCACTCTGACTTTTGCAGCTCTCACAAAGCTATTGACTCTTTTATTTTCTATTTTCTACTCTAAGCCTTCAAATGAGATCCTCTAAGGGAATCCATCCCATCTATTTCTTCACCTCCCTCTCCTGTCATCTGAAAGACACTGAGTTAGACAGATGTGTAAAACGGTTCTGTCCTCAAGTCAAACTCATACACACTCCCTTGCTTACATGCAGAGCTCCACTTAGGCCAGCCGGTAGAGCTCTAAAGACAATACAACCTCAGTCAGGCCGTCTCTGGGGCCGTCACAGTCTCAACTGTCAACACTATCTTGTTGACTTAATAACACAGGGAGACGGGAGGAGGGAAACAGAAGGACGGTTTATTCCTTTGCTCATCGCTGTGAATTGCGAAAATAGTTAGAAGACATTATTCAGACTCTAAGGGGAACCACAAGGGACCCATCCGTCACCATATGCTGGATTCTGTTCAAAGGGATGCAGAGTACTGGCTGTGGTTACGTCAAGCTCTGAAGAACAATTATCCGAACGTAGCAAGAGCGTTACATCAGAGCACAACGGTGGTGGTGTTTTTACGACAGTTTCCAATCCTGTTCCCAGGTGGCAATTATTTTGACTTAACTGTCGTACTAGCAAGCTTTTATTCAGATCCCTAGAGCAGTCGAGTAAATTTGAAGCTTTGGTAACAGTAAGTGCGGCTCTATAAAGAAAGGCTGAAGTGGAGCATGTTTTGCCATTTCTACAGACTAAATATGAGCAGAGAGCTGTGTGACTGGTTGAGGATAAGAAACAAAATCAAAATGTAAAGTATAAGAATGAAGCATGAATTTGAGCTTAGTTACTTAGTTTGCAAAAAAAAACAAAAAACTAGAAAGTATCAAGCTTGCTATTTTACAAATTTTGTATATGCTGGTTTCTCTTGGATAAAAGGCAGTGTCTAAAAGTAAATAGATTTGTGTGCAAACATAAGGGGGATTACATTAGTAGCAACTTTCAGGCAGTTTATGAGCTGCTGGCTAATTTACACCCCTGTCTAATGAGAGACATCTTCACACTCTCGTAACATCTGCGCTGTTCTTGACGTAGTTTAGTGCCAGGGTTGTGGCTGGGAGGCAGGCAGCCGCTGTCTGTAAGGGATGGAAGAGAGGGACATGAGGTGAAATAGATGTAGAAGAGGGCGAGGTTTGGCAAGGGAGGGAGGTGAGCTTGAGGATAGTCTTCCCACAGCTTGGGTGCAGGCAGAAAAGAGTCTGTGGGAGCAGATTCAGTGGTGAGCAGGACACATCTGGTTTAACACATCGAAGGAGGAGCAATCAAGGCAGAGCAGAGCTGCAGCTGCGGGACGCTGCAGCTGTTGAGTCGAAACAACTTCATGGAAAACTTTAGGAACAAGTGGAAATATGATAATTTAAGCTCGGGATATGTTAAAATAAAATGCAAAAGATGGAAATCAAAACCACAGAAAGAAATCTAAAAGCACAGCATAGAGGAATTTTGACTAGATAATTCACATTTGTGGTGAAAATCTTTTACAATGTTTGAAATTACACTTACATTTCTTTATAGACTACAGTGTTAAATGTACCGGCTCACACCTCCAAATGATCAAGGTGTTCCAATCACTTCCACAACGACAAGAGGTGTAGAATCCACCTAATTGGTATTCGGACTGCTTTTACAATCATTTGTGAAAGTATAGGTCACTCAAGAACTCAGTGAATTTTAGTTCCCTACAGTGAGCCGTGAAACCGCAGTAGAAAATTTTCTCACAGCTAAATATTCCAAATTCAACGGCTGGTGTCATTATAGCAAAGTTGAAGCAACTGGGAACACAAGAGTTAAAAACATCTTCAGTGGGAGCAATGGTTATATAGTTCCAAACACGGCTTTGGATTAGCTCAGGATCTGTCTGTCGGGTGCTTCATGTAGTGGCTTGGAAGGCCAAGCAGCTGTTTCCTAACCTTATATCATCAGGTGCAAGGCAAAGCCTCCGACTGGTGAATAGCACACCACCACCAGTGGACTGAGGAGCAGTGAGACCTGTTCTCTGGGTGGACAAATCAGCTCCAGGTACATGGAACATGTTGCAAACAGACTTTAAATTAAGTGAACATGATTCACTGAGCACTTTTAAGTCCAGACTGAGAGCACTAGAGATGACTTCCTCAAATTGTGGCTGTTTTTAATAATCATTTGTAAGGCATTTTAATTGTGTAAGTACATGTAATTATTGTGTAAACCCTTGCCGCCTCTTGGCCAGGACTCACTTGACAAAGAGGTTTTTAATCTCAATAGGAGTTTCGTGGTTAAATGTATGCAAAACATTTTTTTTTGTTAAAAGCCCCTTTCTCCAGGGTACTTTTAAAGTGGACTAAGACTTTTGCACAGAACAATGTTTCAATGGGTTTAGTTTGGCTTCATCATGTCCTTGTCTGCCTGACAGAAACCAGAGACAGTGTTGAAACAGTTCCTGTTGAGCACGATATCTTACAAGAGTAATAATCAAATTTCTACTTAAGTGCTTATCTTCTATCTAAATACACTTTATGGTTAAACACAAAAACTGAATGATGTTTTGTGCAAAATTGTGGCTCACGTCTCTTTCACATGAATCTCAGTATAGTTTAGATTACTTATCTAATCACATCAATAAGACAATCTGAAACAATGCCAGTCAAAACAGCAAGATTAGAAGCTATTTAAATTGTGGTTGTATCAAGGCACCATCTCGGTGTTTTACTTCCTACTTTCAATTTAGGATGGATCCCTGATGTTGGAAACCTTAAAAAAAAAACTCACCAACCTGCCTCTCTTCTCTTATCCAACTTTTTTGTTTTTTCTTTGGTGACTGCTATAAGCTGATAAGGTCACTTCCTGTTTAACTTTCCATCAGCTCCTGTTTTATCTCTCCACTTAGGTCTATCGGTTGGTGTCAGGCTCGCAAAGACAATAGATCTTCTCAATTCTCTGAAGCGCCATGTTCTGATTGTCATCAGACCAGAACCAGACTTTGAAGAGGACAAAACATGAGGGCAGCTCAACAAACCAGACCATATGTAGGGGTGCAATTTTGTCTTGACATGACAGGAGAAGGAAGGTTTCTTAAATCGGGTCACAGTCTTCTTTTACGAACTATACGTTTAAAAACAGTGGGATGGAAATTGACACTGGTAAACCTCCAACTGGAATACCTTCAAATATATTTTTTGTCTACTTTTCTTTTAATAACAGAAGAATTGACAAAGTGAGTGGACGCACAGAGATACAAAAAGGTGTTTAGAAGAAAACTGTGTTTTCAACGATGGTTGAAAGAGAGCATGCCTTTCAACAGATAACAGGAAGGCTGAATGCATCACAGCAAAAGGTCTGATGTAACTTTTTGAATTTTTAAGCTCTGTCACTGAACAAGTCACGTTGGACATTTTTGACATAATGTAAAGATCTGTATTCTCTACGAATACACATGACACTGCTGCTTTTGCAATGGTAGTTGCGCTAATCGATAATAGAGCTGAACTTGTTTTAATAATTTAAATACTATTACAAACTTATCTAAAATGACTAGTCTCTTACATGCACTCATGGCAGGAAAGCTAAAAAAACAACAACAAAAAAAACAGAGTTTTGGAAATAGATTAAAACAAAATTCTAATTAGTGTGTGAAAAAATGTTAAATTTAACAGTGTCAAAATTTAAGCCTAAATTAAGACATTAAAGACAATGTTTGTTAGGTTGTTTTATTAACGTCAACATTTCAAAGCCATTTAGATATTAGCAGACATGTTTATGTAGACATTTTATCACCGTGTCAGCCACATGTTCATGCTGTTCAGACAGGAGACAGCAGCTTTTTGCTTGAGGTTGTGTGTTTGTGTGTGTCAGACACTTACGTCCACTTCACCTTGGTCAATCACATAGAAATTGTCGCCTTCATCACCTGAAAAGGAGGGAGAAGGAATCATTAGTTCATAACAATAAAGAAAATAACTAACAGGCATGCAATCTAGCTTACTTCATTATTTCCTATAAAAGGTTCTTGACAAATAAATCCTGAATTATATAATAGATAGGAGTAAGAAAGAATGACGTGCAGCCAAAGGTCTGGACTGGATTCAAATGCAGACTTGTTGGAGTAATAGTCAATCTTACTGTGGTACATGTAAAATTGAGCTATAATTTTAAACTAAGCTGGCTTAAACATACCAAAGAACACAAATAACTTCACTCTTAAAATAATAATGCAAAATTGAAGGTCTGTCTGATTTGTTTATTTCCCAAAAAGAAATAAAACCAATGAAAGAATTGTTCCAGTACTTTAGGTCTCTATAAATAAAATGGCTTTGAGCTTCTGGGTAGCGCTAAAAGTGCTACTGCCTCATTGAGAATACGTATTTCATAGGCCATGCCAATAACTTTGAGCACATGTGCTCTTGCCAGCAGAAAGTTGCAGCAATGACAGTATTCATTACTTTGGTTTAATAGCGGAAACTTTGAAACATAAGTGTCTGAACATGCAAAGCTTTAACACCTCAGTGGCATGGAAGAGAACAGTGCCTAACTACAGGTGGTTGCTTCATTCATTATGGTCTTTATATGACTGAAAACTATATTTATACTTTGAAAGCAACATTCAATCCATAAAATGTGGTCTAACTGCATCACTGTCTTAAAAAAAAGCTGTGCTTTTGAGGTAAACTCTCAAAGAGATGAATGGGATATGTGATTTATATATTCTAAAAGCATCTCTGGATAACAAAAACAGTAAAACATGGCTAAATTTAGAAGAAAAAGCAGCCAAAGTGGGTAAATGAGACGTGTATATATATATATATATATTTTACTGCAGCCTTTTGGCACAAGTAAAGATGCAACTTTGAGTGTATTTTTGATCTAAGTTTACCTGAAGACTTAAAGTGTGGAGAGGACCATGTGAGTAAAGTTCACAGAAGTTCACATGGCTAATTAATTCTGAGAGGATTGGAGGGCTCGTTAATCATAGTGCCCTATTTGTCACACGAAATGTCCGTTGTCTGTCTGAAAGCCTACCCCTGAAAAGACCCTAAAGAGCCACGCACACACACATATTCTGACAAACCTGCTGCAACCTGGCCCTGCCATAATTTTTCTTCTTTCTCTCTCTTTCATCTCATCTATCCCTCTTTCAATTTCCTCTAACTGTGTCTGTCTTTTCTTGTACTCTTCCTGTCTTTTATCACTTTGGTGGCCAGGTCTTTGTTTTGTGTCTTTCACTTGAGAGTGCAGGCAAATGTTTAACCAGAACCTGCGCTCACAAACACACACAGATATACGTCCTCACACAAGCTGAGATGCCTCATGTGGCCTTGTTTCAACAGATTAATTTTCATATATACTGGTAACGAACCAAAGGATAACATGAGTTATTATCTTTGATCTCCAGGGTGTTGTTATACCCAGAGTACCAATATTAGTGGTTCAGCAGAATAATATTAAGCAAATAATTGATTAAGTAGTAGTAGTAGTATGTTTCAATGGTATTGTGTTTATTGATATTGAAAAACATGCACGTTCCAATGACACAAGCAACTTATAGCTCACTATTGGATACAGCTTTATTAGTGTGCGTGTTAATTGACATATTTATAGCAAAATCATGATACTACTGAAATTTTGATTAATTTCTGTCCTCTATAAACATGCTGCATTTAACAATTTTGCTCGCATCTCAATCTAGTAGAAAAAAAAATAGTGCAATACATAGCGTTATTTTAAAAAAATCCTGGGTAGGGTTTATATAGTGTGTAAGTAGCTAGTAGTAAGGTTGGTTTTGTTGAAGCTCTACAGTAGTCCAAACACTAGCTATGACATCAGCACTTTATACATCACACTCTTGGTGTGTATAACAATGGGTTGTCTGGGTCTGAGGGCCCTACATAGTAAGCTAGACTTATTATCACCAAATTAGGGCTGATATACTCCCGAAAGCTGTTTTAAGAGTCGGTGGGAGGCACCAGCAGTTATCCTTCACTTAGTGTCTGTTTATGATTTTTTTTTTCCCTCCCCCATTTTTTTTGAGTGCTCTGAAGCTGTAACATTAGGTGATTTTGCGCAGGTGTTAACATGACATTATCGAAAGTGGAGGATTTTCAAGAATGTGTGTTTCTTTGGCGTTTTAAAAATATGTGATTAAATGTCTGTGTTTGACAGGAGTTTCAGAGACGGAAATACAGGAAAACACGCAGTCTGGTTCTCCTGGTCTGTTTTTCTTCCAAGTCTAGGGATGACTACTGTGGAGGTTTCTCGGTAAAGCAGAGGAAAGGGACCAAGTGGTGCATGCTTGAGAGGAATGTGTGAATAGGGCAATGAGGGGAAAAGGGAGTGGTAGGATAAAATAAACATGGCCAATGGTGGCAGTGCAACTGATGTATACTTTGAGATAAATCTATTGTGGATAATCAGTAAAAGTAGTGGTGTCTTAATTGCTTCCTTTCTATTTAAGTGGTTTAGTGGTTCAAGTTAATGATAATAGGCCACCTATTATTATATCAAGGAGCTGGCAGCAAAATAGATTCTGTACATTGTTCAACATCAGTCGTCATTTTAATTTAGTCAAAACTTCAATCCTGTTGTTGCCTATTAGAGTTCTGTGATTTAAAAGAACTAATTAGGGGAAGCGCATCAAAAATGCAAACGTTTTCACATCCCTTTAACTTTTCACATTTCTTACATTACAACCACAAATCAAGTCTAATTTAATCTGTTTGTGAAACAATGATTTTTGTCTGAAAGGTGCTACATGAATCAAACTTAATAGTAAAATTCAATGCATATCATTTCCTTACTTTTACTTCCACCAGCTGAGGGTTTGTGGAAGAAAACCCATCTTCATAGTCATCTGCTACATCTTACAGATCCCCTAACCTGCTTTAAGTCTGGAGTCAGAGACTAGAAGGCAGGACATTTGCAGTAGTCTTCAATACGTAAATGTCTTCTGACTTTCTTTCAAAAGTGGTTTTCCTTTATCCAACTCTCATAAAAACAGATTTGATGAATCTGAAAAATATCCTCTTCAAAGACTCTTGCTTAATCCTGTCAATTGGGTGGGTGGTCATGTTTTGGTAGCTTTGCAGTTGTGCTGTTATCTATCCATTTTCGGATCATGATTATGATCTATGAGATGCTGAAACTTTAGAATATTTCTTTATTACCCAACCCTGCTTTCAACATCTCCGCAACTATTTGCTGTTTTGTTTTCATTCATCCCACAAAATCCCAACATGACAAAACATTAAAAAGTGCCAGAGTTACAATACTTTTGCAAGACACATATACAAATGTTCTCAATTTTAACAATTTTTTCTAATCAAATTGTTTGTACTAACCTTGTTGGATAACTGTTTCCCCTGCAATGTGGGTGACAGGGAACATGGCATCGAATATGTCACTGCAGAGAAACAGGGAAAAAAAAGGAAACAATTAAAACACACATGCTTTCATTCTTTGCATTGTATTTCTTGATTTCATTATAAATTTCATATGCAACACTTTCAAAACTGCATGATAAACTGGCAGCATGAATGTTTTTCATCATTCTCTGAATGCAACCAAATACATGCTATACCCAGATAAAGCAATCATGAAAAAAAAAAAAAAACTCTAATACATTTTCACAATTCATGAATGAACATTTGTGAAATAAGTTGTTATGGTTGTCATATGAGAATTCCATCAAAGGCAGCCAAACGTTTCAGCCACTTAGTCTGGATCTCTGCACGATACAGGTACCGTACGTGGGCCGATTTATGGCTGTTTTGTTTCAGCTTATGATCAAAGCTCGTATCTCTGAGAGCATCTTCCTTCGGAGGCGCAGAAAAAACAAACAAAATGACAGTTGAACCCGAGCACCTGATTTCTGCTCCAGCCCGCCAGGTAAAAAAGCGCCTGTTAGACGGCTGCTAATCGCACAGTTTAAATGCATGAGGCCTCAGAAGATTAGAGCACCACTGCTGGAATGTGATGGGACAAAAGACATTATCCTTCTCTCTGGGTGTCTCTCCCCTCCAGGGTGTATTTTTTCCTATCTAATCAGTTGCATACCATTTGTGTTATAGAAAAAAAAAATACAGTAAAAAACAATATACTAAGATTAATTATATCAAAGAGTTGCAAAAACTACAGTGAATTTGGGGCAAGTTTGAGCTTGCAGTTATGTCTCTATGTGTGTGTGCATGTTTAAGCCAGAATGTCTGAATCTGAGTCCATACAGCCTATGAAAACACACAGGTTTGCACAAAATAATATGTGGGAGAGGGATAACTGCATGCTTCTTAACCTGCAGCACACAAAATACACATAAAACAGAGGGAGAAAAAAAAAAAAAAAAAAAATAATAATAAAATTAAATTTGCAAACGC